GGTAACATGCAATGAGCTGATGATGATTTTCCTTCCCCCTATTTGTTAGGCAAGTGTGGGGTTCGACCACTTTACTTATCCTCCACTTGCCATCACTCTGTCTCTTTCGTGCATTTAACCTCCACATACAACCATTTTTGCATATCACATGGTACCTCAACTCCTGGTCCGAATGAGTGACGTTGTACGGCCTATGGTGATACACAGCATAGTCCTGAAGGAAGAGTTTTATCTCTGACATTGTATTGAATATCATCCCCTTACTAAGGATTTTTTTTCTCATGGTCATACAATAATTTCCTACACATCTGGAGACCGGTGTCACAAACTGTCATATCCGTCATGCTGACATCCCTATAGTTCGGAACGCCCCTGAAAGGTACGTTCATCGACCTTAGTTGCTCAAGTTCAGTCGCTGTGTAAGGTGGTGGTGGAACATACTGCTGCGCTTCGCTAATTCTGCCCCATGAATCATAGGGGGTATCATCTGCTAGCAAATCTATGACTAGTCTACCCTGAGCTTGGATAGCATGCAAAACCTCAGTTGGTACTGATAATGGCATACCATGAACAGGTATTGGCATGGCATCAACCGGTGTGGGCATAGCATGTCTACCTCCTTGGTCATCATCTGAATCATCCGAATCACTGCTAACTACATCACCGATCCTGTCCTCCTCCTGCTCCTCTTCTAGTTCAAACTTGTTCACATCGAAGTCATTGCTTATACAGTCTACTTGACTTGAATGAAACTGCTCCTACGTCAACTGACCATCCAAATCCATGTTACCCTGAGTTGCTTCCCCTTCGACCCCCAATTCTTGCTCATTGCCTCCAACACCGTCAATGGACGGCCCATCTAGGACACCCTGCATCCTGTACCCATTCTCCACCACCACCTCAGCCATGGGCACATTGGAACCTTGGAGCACCGTATTATAGCGGGACCAGTGAGCAGGGTCACGCAAGGGTATCAGGATATAGTGTGCCCTAGTCTTTCTAGTATCAAACCTCCCCTTCAGTGTGAAATCACCGCCAACCTTTGCATTCAAACAGACACAAAGGTCGTTGAAACTAGGAGGTTCATCAAACCATTCCAATTCTTCTTTATATCCTCAAACATACCATCTTCTCTCCTAACACTTCCTCCGTAAAAATCTCTAACACAACAATCCATCTACAAAAGCATTTCAAGAAACTTCATCAAGACATCGAAATCATCGTACGTACTGTCCATAGTAATATTAATACCTATTCTAACTTTACTAACTATACTAACTTACTATACTGCCTATACTAACTAAACTAACTAATTTTACTAACTATACTTTACTAACTATACTAACTTTACTTATTGTACTAACTAATCATTCAAACTAAATTTGCATCTTCACCCTAAGTAACAACAATTTTGATTCAATCAACAAATACACAAGGGGAGTACCTCGCGGCAGCAGCGTGCTCTCGTCCTCGCGGCGGCGGCGCTCATCCTACCGGGAGCAGCATGCTCTCGTCCTCGCGGCGGCGGCGCTCGTCCTCGCGGCAGCAGTGTGCGCTCGTTCTCACGGGGGCGGCGCGCTAGACCGGGCCGGGAGGCGGGTGCCGCGGGAGGGAGGCGCTGGCGCTGGCCTCGGCGGCAGCGGGTGGACGCGAGATAGATGGAGGGGCGCGCGACAGTGGGGAGCGGTGTATAGCGGCGGCGCGGCAATGAGGGCGATGGCGCGACAGTGAGGGCGGTGGCGGGCGGCGAAGCGGCGTGGCGGCGGCGTGCGCGTCGCGCGGCGATGGTAGCGGCGATCGTGGGCGCTGGCATGCGTGGCGGCTGCGCGGCGTGGCGGCCAAGGCGGGCGGCGGCGGCGGCAGCGATGGCCTTGATGGCGCAGTGGCGCGGCGGCGCGAAAGGGCGGTGGCGGGCGCGCTGGCGGCGGGCGGCGGGCGACGTTTTTTATCGGGGCCAAGTGAGAGAGATAGAGAAAGGGAAGAGAGAGTCGCGTCACGGGCCTTTACTGGGGCCTGCCGCGCCGTGCGCGATGTTGTGTCGGTGCCGCGCCATGATCTGTGGCGCGGCAGAACTAGACCACGTCACCGATCGATGCCACGGTGGCAGCCTGGCCGTGCCGCCATGCATAGCGCGGTAGAGTGGTTTGGCCACGCCATATCAGTTGGCGTGTCCAAAAGTGTTTGTTTTGAAGAAGAAAAAAAACAATGTTAATTTTAAAAATAGTTTTAAAAAGTGCTAAAATAAAAAAAAAGGTCCAGGGGCCGGGGATGCCACCCCAAGTGCTAGGCTAGCTGGCCGATCGAGCCGTTGTGTTGGCACTTGGCATGATCATGCAGCGGCTAGCGGCATAGGGAATTTGGTGGTGCGCTTTTTTTATATACACTAGCCGACTAGTCGTATATGGTATGGTAGGTGACGGGGCCGGTTACGATGGGTATCACTTTCTTTTGTAAGTTCTGTTTGTTCTTATTCTGCCTTTAGTTGGTGTTCACAGCCTGCTGCAAGTGAGTTTTCAGATAGAGATTGTACAGAGAAACAGAGAATCGTCAGATGCTTTTTCGCTCGCTCGCTTGCCTGTCTGCCTCTTGCTTTTTATTTTTTATTTAAAAAAAGGTGATGCATGTTGAGGGCTGAGGCGTAGCAGTACGTTAAGCTTATTGCAGATCAATCAAGTTGATGTTTTTAAATACTCCGTCCATCCACGAAAGAATACAATTCTCGTTTTTTAAAAAGTCAAGCAATTTAAATTTTGACTAAATTTATATAAAAAATACTAATATTCATGATACAAAATAAATATCATTAAATTAGTTATATAATATATTTTTATAATAAATTTATTTGGAGACATAAATATTAATATTATTTACTATAAATTTAATCAAACTTGAAATAGTTTGACTGACCCATAATTACATCCTACGGACAGAGGAAGTAACACTTTCATCGGTACGATGTTCTTGGCACGTCAAAATCTCGTGACAGATAGCTTCTTCCTCCAAACAGCAACAGCGGGATGGACCCCGATCGAGCTCTCTGAAGTTCTGAATGCGCCCGTATGACCCAGCCCGATACCTATAGCCTGGAGACAAATATTTATACACTTGCTATACATGCTAGTACTACTATAGAGAGAGGCAACATATATGGCAACCTCTTATACATAAAGATCACAGATTTAACACCATCCCTCAAATATTAACTTGCTTATAATTTCCTAATAAGACATAGTAATTTCAAAAAGATTATATGCAGGTCATTAATTTTGGTTACCAATTCCATTGAGTCATTTTAGGCAAGATCATATTTAAAAGACATGTATGCATGGATGGGGTTTAAAAGGCTGTCACACATGGATTGGATTGTACTTTATAACCTATATCTATACCTCTATATCTATTCTATAGCTGTATCTATATCTATATTTATATTTATATATATACCTTAATACTAAAAAGGCAAAATTTCTGGCACTAATATTTTTTCGCCCAACCAACCTAATAATACTAAAGTGGCTCGGTCTCACCATCTGCTCCGCAAAAGTTCCGGTTCCATTTTTGCTCCAGACGGAACCGTTAGTTTTATACGTGGGAGACGTTTCCGTGTCCTTTTCCGTTTCCTTTTTTGTTTTCCCGGTTTTTTTGTCCGTTAATGGAAACCCCACATTCGCTTTGTGTACTTGACTTTTTTTCTCTTTTTCCATTTTCTTATAAATAAAATAATAAATAACAAATATAGTATTATGGGTCTATGAACTATTTATCCTTCTCTAATCTAATAAATAATCCGTGACTGAAATCTTAAATATTTATCATCTAATCAAATCTATATCTATATATCTATGGTTATGTGCCCTTTTGTGTTTTTTCTTTTTGTTTATATTTTTTCTTATTCTTATAAATAGAAAGAATAAATAATAAGTGGCTAAAATCTTAAATAATTTATATCTATTTACTTATGGTTCAATGACCTTTTTCTATTTCACTTTTTTGCTTCTTGTTTTCTTATAAATAGAAAATAAATAATAACTATTAAATATAGTATTATGGATCTTCAAACTTTTATTCTTGCCTAATAAACAAACCATGACTGATACCTTAAGCAATTTGTCATCCAATCTAATCCCTCTATATATGTCTAAGAGGGAGAAAGAAATTTCCGCCGCTTCTAGAAACTAATCTTAGAGCTTGAGTTCATCCTCCACGTGTCAATAAACCTAATCCAATCCGATATAATAACCCTACCATGTCCTTACACCCTACGTGTTCCATATGTGACCCCGACTCATGATCCGTGCTCATATGGGTTAGATTAGAACTTGCGTCGAACAATAGTACGAAGTGCAATTACAATTCCAAGACGTATCGGGTGGTTCCGTGCATATTTGCTAGTTCAGAATAAATCTTGAACCTTCCATACCCTGTGCTCCGGGGCTGAGGGAGTAGTACAAGCATTACACCGGAAATGGAACTTATTAATTAACGTGATGTAGCTCACATTTGATAAATATAATAAATTCAGCCATTTATCAGCTGTATGTGTATTCTTATAGCAGTCAATAATCGGTGGTGATATGTACTCCTATCTTGCAAAAAAAAAACAAAAAGGCCTGCCGTGATACACGCGTCCTAATTAGCCAGCCAATTAATTGATACTACTACATATAATTATTAGTTGACAGTCGGATCATATATATTTGTATGTATATGCATACTAGTATATGTTATATACGAGTGAACAGTACCCCCCACGTCGTGTCACGTGTACTTGCCCCACCCCCAGTCCCCACCAATGCCACCATGCCTTCGCCGCGCCGCTTTCCAATCCTCCTTGCTTGGCGGCGGTACCGGGTACCCGTGAGGCCGTGACACCCCCCTATATTCGTAATTCGCACCGAACGCCACATCGCGTTGTCGCACCCCCAGCCAGACGACATCGTTGTCGCCGCATCGCGTCCCAGGTTCCCAGCGCGCCGGAGCAGAGGATCAACAGAGATCGCATGGCGCGCGTCCTCGTGGCCACGCTCACCGGTAAGCCCGTCGTGCGAGAGCTCGCCAGTGCCGTCTGGCGTGGCGCGGCATCCATGCATGCACTCACTCACTCATCCGATCGACCCGAGTATCTGATCCGCGCGTGCTGGCTTTGCATGCAGCGGTCCTCCTCCTCTCGGCGGCGCCTCCACCTCCGGCGAGGGCGGCGTGGGTGGACTCGGACTACCCGTCGAGCGTGCCGTGCGGGGTGACCATCCCCGTGGAGCAGTGCGACCCGGCGGTCGCCGCGGCGAACGCCGCGTGCCGGGACATGTGCCACTACGGAGGGCGGCGAGGCGGGCGGTGCGTGTCCCCTGGGCGGCTCGCGCTAGTGCAGGGATGTCATTGCAGGTGCTAGCTCGCCGACCGACCGACCGCCACCGGGCGGCGGCGGCCGGGGGACGCAATGTCCTTCCTGTGGGCTGTGGGAATAACAAGCCTGCGTCTGCATGCATGACGGCGTGTGCAGATAGCAGTGACCTAATCGTGGGAATATAGCTCTGTTTGTTGATGCTGTGCTACAGCACGCAATGTGTTTTGTTCTGTGCATTCAGTTGTTCTTTTCTTTAGCAAAAATTGCATGTTCCGGCTGCTGCCAGTGCCAAGCAGTATCAACATGCACCGGTTATTTGCTAGTGCGATGACTGCGTAATACTCTCTCCGTCCAAACGTTTTAGCTTTTCTAGATATATTGAATCTACTATATTTGCATATTTTTTTTAGACCAGACACATACGCTCTGAGCGTACACACCCCCTATGAACCTATGAACACCTCAAAAAAAATTGACCGTTACAGAAGTGGGCTAAAACATAATCCATTAGTATAGTACTAATGGACTTTTAATAAGGGACAGCTTTAAAGCCCATGAGTGGAGGTGAAACATGCAACATTAATTAGTATCATATCGTTAGTTGACGTTAAGATAAAGAGTTCTGCTCCCTATATAAATATACCAACACCCATGAAAAAAGATAACTCTCGGTCCTTCCCAGCATGAGTTGCTAAGTGTATGACAAAAATTATGTATCGAAAAAAGCCGAATCGTTTATCATTCAGAATGAAGTATATCAAGGCGAATAAGCTTATATAATACATGAAGTGCCACTCAGCGAACACTGTTTCACACAGCAACAGTTCCAAGGAAATAGAGGCAACTCTGCAGCAGCGACCTTCGTAGGAATGCTACTAACCCGCGCCTCCATCACGCCGAGCAGTACTGGAGAGGTCTGAGTTGACAACGGCCGCCTTGCTCAGTGTCCAACCAACCTGTTGCCAAAGTCCTTATCTGTCTGGAGAGTGCTTACTGAATGTCTGTTCTCTCATTATCACTGTGTAGCCTTACCGAGCGAGCATATCAAGCATGCTGCTTGTTTGTAATGTCTTGCCTATCTTGGGCCTTGACGCCTTGTGCACGCCAGTTTTTCCTTGCATGCTTGAGAGAGCCAAATCAGGGCAGGCCAGGCAAGGTCTAGGGCTCCAGGCAGGCCAGGTACATGAACAGCTACCGCAATCTTTCTCACAACCAGCGCCAGCCAGGGAAGGTACATGAACATCTGCCGCAATCTTCCTCAACCCCAACCGAAAATTTGCCTCATGGTAACATGTTCCTAGTGCATACAAAACGAGGGATGAGAGCGCCTCCCTGAAGCTACGCTGCTTATTCCCCAGCAGATAATACCACATCTCAGAAACACTCGTATGGCAGGCAATGTTTACAAATTAGTACACAGCTCATACATCATCACAGTTCACAAATCACAAAGAACAAGAATTACACTCGTGAAAAAAGAGGCAGCATCGCCACAAAATATCGTCCATCCCTTTCTGCTGAAACCCTACGCTGTACTGGGAATGCAACAGTCCTATAGTCTTATTCACACTTTGCAAACACAACAAACTGATCAAGGACACAGCACTGGTGTGTTGTCCCTATAATAGGGGGTAATGAGTATATAAGTGGCCGGCATCAGGGACCTCCAAACACACCCGGGGGTGGAGGTGGACACTATGTTCTGGAGCAAGTACACTCATCAGGATGGTTGTATAGTAGATGTATTCTATCGGACGAGAAAAAGGCAAAAGCAAGAGGTGCGCAACAAGCTGCTGTCTGAGATAGGCTTTGGCTTTACATCTGGATAAATAGCACCCACCCAGCACCTTCTGCTCATCAACCACAAATGTACATCTCTGGAGCTGAGTGTCAGCTAGGCTGTTCTGACTTCTGAATATAATTACTGAATGTGGATGTGGACAAAATTCCACGGTTCGCCGCTTGTACAGGTGCAAGATTCTGGGCTGACCTCAGAGCTGCAGACAGTCCGCAGAGTAGTGTATTTACAGCTACTGTACAGGTTTTTTCACTGGCCGGCCCATCAATTGGCATTGTTGAGGCAACAAACTACAGCGAACTTGCCCCTTGACATGGAGTAGTTCGCCATCAATACCACATCCATCGTGTGTATTTGGGCCTGCCTTGAGCCTCACAGACTTCACCTGAATTTAGCACAGCAATAAAATGAAGAGTTAAAAAAAAAACTTTCACATGACAAATTCTGAAAGAATGATTAACACATAAATCATTAACCATGGCAATGTCCAATGGTTGTGACATTTACATGAAATGCCATGGAAATAAATTCCTTGACAGTAAATCATACAAGAACATGCATGACAGAAAGCATGGCATTCATCAAGGCATCAAGCCAAAATCAAAGCAACACTATCATGTATAGAGTAATGGAAGATTCAACACTTGGCAAAGAGAAGCAGCCATAGCATACCTTTACATATTCTACATTTGGAAGAGATATGTGCTTTCCAAACTGCAAAAGCACCAAAAATCTCAGTAATCTCAGTCTTCCACTTCCACCAACCAACAGCAGGTCCAAACAATTGTCATCATATTCAGCCTTGGGAGCAACAACCTGAGAGCTCAGACTCTGCACAGTCTTGCATGAATGGTTGCACACCAGTACACCAAGATAGCACCCTTTCCTAACTGTCCATCTTTCATCTAAGCTCGGTACCAGCTCCTTAGTCAGACCAAGCTCAATGTCCTCGCGAGGACTATGGAGCTCAATTGAAGTATCAGGTTCCCAGTTAGGTTGATTATCCCATTTAGGTTCATCGTCCCACTTTGGTCCTGAATCCCATACAGCCACGGGTCCAGGATCAGAAATTGTGGACGACGTGTCCTCTTTGTCTGCGTTAACCTTAGAGGATTTTGCATCATTTGTAGCAGACAAGCCTGGCCTTGCCTTTTCAGTCCTTGATTTTGACTTAGATCTACGCCAGTTGGGAGTAGATGTACCATGGGAATGGGGATGAAGCACTTCTTCTGGTTCTTTAAATGTGCTCCCTCTCCCTAATGATAAGCGCTTTGATTTCGGGTCAAGTGCACGAACAACCTCAGAAGGTTCATTATTTGCACGAGGACTACAAACCTCCAGCTCTGCCCCAGACATAATGCCTGTAGACATTATTGAATCAATGCTAGATAAACTTGAGGCGCGTGGTAAACATTCTGCTCTTGATCTCCGAACTACATCATCATATAGATCAGATGCATAGACCTTTTCTTGTCCTACCAAAATTTTATGCTCAGCGCCATTGACATCTGACACTGGAAGATATTCCAATTCAAAACTGTACTTTGGCAAACACAGGAATTTGAGAAAACCAGCTACAAAGTATCGTAAAGGACCAAAATGCTTCTGATATTTCTCTGAGAGCTCAAGAACTGCAAGAGATGATGGAACATCACTTTTTTTAATTGCAGAAAAACTAAAAAGTGACCTAAGGCTAGCTCAAAAGCTAATTTTAGAGAACCAAGACAGATAAAAAGTCTGACGTGTTGAATATTTACCATCGCTAACAAAACCAAAATATGATACGGTTGTGCCATAATGCATAGTCCCACTTTGAATCCATTCAACAGAAAAAACATCAATAGGTGTAAGACCTCCCTGCAACCAACAGGTGGTTCAATAAACATTTACATAGAACCATACATATCCACATCAAACTGTTCAAGCTAAAACTTAAAAAAGTACTGAGGAACATCTATTGATTAAATTATGCAATCAAATGTACAAACAGTAGACAGATAGACATACCATACTTTCACCTATTGAAAAGCTTTAACTTGCAACAATTAAACTTGCTTCATCAACTATTTTTCAATCTTCTAAGGTACTTATTAACAAAGAAAAAGCATGCTTGAGAAGGAGGACTGGATGAATCAGGCAGCAATATAATAAGCCTATAAATTTCATATAGGTATAAAGGGCGTACCCAGTGCAGAGAGCTCCCGCTCTGTGCGGGGTCTGGGGAAGGGTGTCAGTGGCAAGCCTTCCCTTTTTTGCCTTTCCTAATATAATATATAATTTCAAAAGCACAGTTGCTCAAAGTAGACATTATGACAGGAGTTATGGCGGCTTATACTCAATTCAGAATACATCAGATTTGCAGTTTCAGTACTAGAAAGGTTAAAAGGACTTTCTGACGCTGAGTGACTGAAACCCTACATGAGACAATGTTTTAACCACTCTAGGATGCCTCAAAGCACTGGAGAAACAACATAGCCAGCAAGGATAGAGCTACAGAAGAAAACTTGAGCTACTTATCCTACATCAAGATCACAGGCAAACCCAATTAGTGAGCATCTAGTATGGAGAAACATGAAGGGCAGGCCTGGTGCAGTGGTGAGAGCTGTCTCACTGAGTCACCAGGTCGCGGGTTCGAAGCAGCCTCTCCGCAGATTTTGCGGGGGGGAAGGCTTGCCTCGGTTTTTCCCTTCCCCAGACCCCACTCATAAGGGAGCCTCCGGCACTGGGTCTGCCCCTTTTAGTATGGAGAAACATGGGTGGTGCTGACAGCACGATGGCAATACACAGCCACTGGAATGCACCATTTAACATGGATGTGTAGTGTGTCAACAGCAGGGTAACATTACATGGCCAAGTGAATGTAGAGGAGAGATGGTAACTTGGACATGCAGAAGATTGCACATGTAAAGAAGTTAGCTTGTTCAACATACAAATACTGAGAAAAAGAGAGATGATATGAAGACAGGTAGATTCGGATTGCATGGGCAACGAAGTGACATTGTAGGATGGCAATTGTGGGAATAAAGGGGCAGGAAAAAAAAATCAAGATTAGATATGCTTATCTCTTCGTAATTCAAAATCACCATTAATCACAAACAAAACATGTAGTTCACTTCAACCTAGCTCATAATAGAATATTTTACAGCAGGGAAATGAATAGCCACAGCTGTCAGTTACATGCAAATACCAAAGGAGCACAAAGACACAGAAGGTGAAGTAGAATTGAAACAAAACAAACACTTTACCCTGACAATTGACAATGCTGCAGAAATTGGATCCTTGACACCCAAGACTGTCCAAATAAGTGAGTTATCAGACCCAGCAGGTATTATACCTATTGGAACAGAGGCAGCCATATTTTGATCATCTCTGCATAGAAGACCATTGAGAACCTACACAATGGATTGATTACTACATCAGAACCTGTAGTTGACATACAAATTACTATTTCTGTGACAT